CTATAAATAATAAACATTGCTTGAAATTTACGACTGCGGTCCGCGGAGGGTTATTTTGTGAACGGTGAATTATGTATGCTTAAAATTATCATAATACCCCCTTCATCTTCTTTATCCAAACAGGATGCACGTCGAAGGGTAAATATATAATTTATGTTGCTATCATATCACCATAAACAGAGATCAGGAAATGGAAAAAGCCAGGGATTCAAATCCCTCAATCTATCTATTCTCAAAAAAAAAAAAAAAAAAAAAAAAAAAATAAAAAAAAAAAAAAAAAAAAAAAAAAAAAAAAAAAATGCTCTCATTAGTTTAAGTATGAGGCTTTGCTCTCTCATTAGTTTAAGTATGAGGCTTTGCTCTCAGGGAGAGGCGGTGGGTTTCAGGGTGGTTGACGCCGTCCTCTCTGATAGATAGCGGAGCCAGTGATTACTGATTACATTTTTTTCGTTGGCAACAGCCCTTGCATATCTATCATATATATACATATATATATACATACCTTCTTTCTTTTTGTGTGTGCGAGTGGCTGGTTGGCAAGGCTTTGATGATATTGTTCAGTGACCCTTAAAGATCAGACTCGAAGAGAAATACTCGATTTCTTGGCGGGGCGACCTTTCATGGTTGCAGCCATGCTGTTATGGTGTTTCTTTCGTGTCCGATTTGAAGGCATATCTGATCTGAGCCTTCTATCTCTACAGATTTCTCTGTTTCTGTTTGGGCTTTTCTTGTTTTCATGCAAAATATCTTTATAACATTTGTAAATTTGTAGGAACAGATGCTTCCTTTGGAGGGGTGACTTGAGGGTCTTATTTGACAAATAGCTATTTGTGCAGCCATGGATGTGTTGTATAAATGAATTCATGTATATATTTCATTTATTGATGATAGAAAAGAACTTTCTAGTTTATACCAAACATGAAATTTGAAATTAAAGATGAATTCTTTGGAATTCATTTGCAGTACCCGGGCCTTTCTGTCGGGTAAAATGAGAATCTGAGCCTTCTTTTACTGTCTTATTAACCTTCTTGAAAATGTGTTTTTTCATGGTTTCTTTACATAAATCATGTGACATGTTTTTTAATATGTTGCCCCGAGAATTTGAATTTTGTTCCGTGGGTATGGGAGAGGAAGAAGGTCAATCACGAAATTAAAGTTATTATCATTGTTTTGAAAACAATTTCTGGATTCATTTTCTCTTTCACTTCCATTTTTGGTTCCTACTGTGTGTGATTTGTACACTTCTGGCCTTTTTATCAACTATAAATTGCACATTTTAAAATAATTATAACTTCCTTGATAGTGTTATGGCCTACTGCCCCAAACTTGTATTTTTGACAACTATGGACTGCCTGCTTACCCTTGCATTTTTCTTGTTTTCTTGATGAGTTTTATGTGGTACCCATGTGATATGGGAAATCTTCCCTGATTTATTGTTGCTGCTACTAGCTCCATTATGAAATGTGAGATTGATAGAGTGTTCCTTCAATTTCTTTAATCTCCCTTTCTCTTGTATTAACATGGCCTTGATTTTTGAATGTTCCATTTTTCCTTGAGGGTGTTGTAATTCACCTGGAACTGACCAAACTCAAGAGCAAGTGAGCTAATAATAAATTGAACTAAAAAATGATTCACTCACATCAATTCCCATTGATTTCAGTTTGACTGCCAAATTCTGCATGCCAGTCACATGATCATGATGAAGTATTTCGTTGTTCTGGCTTATTTTGTGCCGGTGTTAATTCATGGAGTAGCATCCCTGGTCTTGGAATGTCTGCCAAGGGTAATGATATGGCAGAGCTGCATTCTTGTTCCACTATGTTTTGGCGTCACTGTCATATCAATTTCTAGTTTTTTAAAATTGCTGTTTATTTTCCTTTACATTCAGCTGGAGTTTATGGAATATTTTATTGAAAATTGCCTATTGACTGTATTTGTTTGAATTTTAGGAAACTTTAAAAGACTAAACAAAAACTGTGTTCCTATAAGGTCAGCATTAGAATTATATTTAATTTAATATTTTTTGGTTTTAAGCCTTGAGAGTTGCAAGTTTTGGATGTGCCTTATAATGTCAGTAGAACATCCTAGAAGCTGATAGGATTTGTGTTTTTTGGCCTAGAGTGATTAATGTTTAGCTGGATGAGCAATCTTCCGCTTGGAGTTGTAACCATAAGGGGAAAAATAAATTCTATGCAATAATTTGTTGCTACACGTCATTTGTAGCTCTATATGTAAGAACCCTCGTCCCAAGAAGGATAGCTTTGGTAAATATGCACGATCAAGCGGAAATCTGATGATAATTGAATTCAGTTCTTGTTCAACTAGTTCAGGTTGCTGTAACTTTTTCTGGTTGTAGAAGATCCTTCTGTCATTTGATATGAAGCCAAATCTGGATGAGTAGTATTTGGTACAATGAGATGATTCCATATTTTAGTTGTTGGTTAAACCTTGTTGAATATAAATATTCTTCTGAATATTCTTTTGAACCTGTTTAATATAAATGTTTGAAGAATATTTAATGTTGAAGAATATTTTTATTTTGCCGTTTCTTTAAGCTTTACGGAAACAGTTGTCAATGTGGGAGAAAACAAACATGAAAACTTATTTTGTTCATCTATTCTGGGAAATGAAGGAGTGCAAAGGTGCATATCGTTTTCTCGACACACTATAATGATACAGAGGTCATAAAAATTCTTGTTTTCTCTCCTTGCTGTGATCGCATTGGCGGTTCTGTTTTCAAATTCAAATTCGCTTGAAAACTGCAGTTTTCAAATCAAATCGATTGAAAACTGAAGAAAGAATGTGTGCAGTTGAAACCAAGCAAACCAAGAATATTACTAAACTGATTTTATTTGGATCAATTTGGTTCGCTCTGCTAATATTTTACCATTTTAAATGTTGAAAAAGAAATTTGGTGATCCCAATTCGAACTGTTCCTGTTGAATTGAATTGAAACCAAGTTGCTCAGGTTGATTTGGTTTTGAGTTTTCGGTGAGTAACTAATGCTCAGTCCGACGAAGGAGCTGGCTTTATCCTTTTTTAGGAAAATATTTTGAGTAATTTTTTTAAATTTTGATTGTAATATTAAAATATTTTTATATGAAAATATAAGATATCGTACATATAAACATGAGTACTGATGTAATGAAGATTTCTACAATAACTAATTAACATGAAATATAAGTATTCTTCAAAATTGGACATTTAAAAATCAAAAAGTTCTGAGAATATTTTTGATGAAAGGGACCCAAATCTTCGATTTTGCCGACAAATAAATAAACAAAATTACAATGACCAAAGGTTAAAGATACCCTCGGCGTCTCGGGACTCAGTTTACTCGAAAGGGTAAAGGGTAGTAATGGAATAGAAGTCTAGCCTACAATAAAATGCAAGAAGATGCAAAGCAGCATCAAGCCCTCTTCTGAATGAGGCTTTGCTCTCAGAGAGACTGTTGAGTTTGGCGGTTGCTCTGCTCTCTGAACGACTGCGGAGCCGATGATTTCACCGTCGTTTTATGAATCAATCGCTCTTGCGTATATGTATATGTATGTGTATATATATTTTTGGGTAAATTATTATTTCGTCCCTAAGGTTTGATCTACATTACAGCAGTACATAATCTTCTCTGTGGAGGTTCTGTTGTTGCTGAGGCTATGATGATTTTCATTTTTCTAGAGTGCAAGAAGTTAACAATAAAGAACAATTTGATGGTTTGGCGGGGCAATGTGGAAGGCTTACTGTGGTGATTGGTAGGCTATGACTTGATTTATCATTTTGTATTGTCTGTGAAGTTGCAAGAAGTTTTCTAGTCAACTTAGAAGATTCTTCAACTGTGAATCGCGTTATCTGGTGCGAGGGCTCTAATAGTCGGATGTTTTCTTCTGTAGAGTTTAGCTGCACTTCTTTGCCAGCTCTTAACAGTCTCATGTTTCTTTTATATGTCCTTGCACTTTTCAAGTGAGCAGGAATCCCTTAGTCCCGTTCATCTTTTCTTTTCTTCTCTTCTTCTCTTTCTTGTTTTCTTATATCTAACAAAGATACATTATGGTGTAGGCGTAGTCGATCACTTTATTATTTGATTCTCGTGTCCAAAGCATACTCTTTGACTAGGTGAGGTATCGTTCTCCACTGAGGGGATGGCTAGTGGGTCTCCACGAGTGAGTTGAGAGTGTACACGTACCACTATTCGAATCAAGCAGCGGGGCTCGCAGCCCTGCTATTTTATAATCAAAGAGTGAACTCAACTCACTCGTTAGAGACCTCTCACTTCAGTGGAGCAGACTCACGTTGTATTTGTTAAACCACATTTTTGCTTAAGTTTTTGCCTTACCAAACAAGACTATCCTCTCCTATTCCGATGGGTAAAAGAGTGGAAAAAAAAAAACCGGAATAATATAAAAATTCACCCACTAACTTGCTCGTACTATTGATCCAAGGAATTAGAGAATGATGGTAGGTTTATTGAAGAGTAACAGTAATGAGGGTATGATGATATATCGTGTCTAGATCAGGTAGTATAAACATCATTCTTCTTGAGCGGGGTAAGCCTTTCGGAGTGCTGGCGAATATGGAGTTTCCCTCCTTTTTCCTTCGGTATAGCTTTTGGCTTGCAGCCTGATGTGGTGGTGTTTACTTTCTTGTTTGATTCAATTGCATTTGATTGAGCTCCGTTTCTGTGGGCATTTTCTCTAATTTAGGCTCTGTTTGTTTTTCCGGAAAATACTTCAAGCGCGGTGAGTTGTCCTGTTCACTTTTCTCTGTTTGGAAAAGGCGAATCTGAGCCTCCTTTTTTATTGCCTAAACAGGTAGAATTGAGTTTTAACATTTGTGACATTGTTGGATGTGAACAAAGTTTGGGCTTAATTTTTAATTCTGTTTCTCAATCTTCTCTTTGTGAGTATAGAATTATGTTGAACTGTTTTTTTAGAACATAGATCTTGTTGTGTCATTTAAGCTCCATGGGTTTCAAGAACTGTCAATTTAAGCTTAGAGGTTGAGCCTCCTTTTATATGCTTAAACCAAGGTAGAATTGAGTTTTAACATTTGCTGAACATTGTTGGAATGTGAACAAAGTTTGGCTTAATTTTAATTTCTGTTTCTCAATCTTCCTTTGTGAGTGAGATATTATGTTGAACTGTTTTTTAGAACCATAGATTGTGATTGTCAATTTTAGTCCATGGGTCAAGAACTGTCAATTTAAGCTTAGAGGTGAAATGTCAACAATCACAATGCAAGGGATTTATACTGTCAAGTAGTGAAGAATTGCTTTAGCAGGGATCACCCTTTACGTCATTAATGTATCAATCAAACCCAGGAAAAACATGTAGATACTTTTTGCTTGTTAATATTTTTTAATCTTTTAGTTAGAACGAGGAAAACGTATTGGATGGTTCCTTTTGTTAATAAATTATATGCGGTGTTGGTTATAGCTTGGTGTCTTAATTTCAAAGCATTATGATCAAGTATTTAGAAAAATATTTGATGTTGTCTAAAATAGCGACAGTGAGCACTTCTCATACATTTTCTTCACTCTCATAAGTCTCAGTTTGAAAAACTCACTTGACATCCGTTCAGTTGTCACATTATAGACTGACTAAAATTTACCATATTTAATTGTAAATCCCACTATATTCTTCTTGCTTTGATCTTCATCTTTGTTGTGACCATTCTACTATTTTTAATACCTAAGTCCTGAGCTCCGTTTCTCTTTCCATTTCTTTTTTTTTTCCTCTCTTTTTATGGAGTGGAAATTTTAGCTTGTTTCTTTAAGAATGTGGTATTTGCTCTTAGAAAGTTGGATGGTTTCAGGTGATTTCATATCTTATTTTACCAACGGCCCTGAATATGCTGATGGTGAAAATGATTATGTTGATAACAACAGCAAATGAGGCAATGATGATTCGGTGTAAATTCTAGCTCATTAGTTTAAGATTGAGGTTTTGCTCTCAGAGAGGCGGATGGTTTCAGGGTGGTTGACTCTGCCTCTCAAATGGGTAGCGGAGCTGGTGATTTCACATCCTACGACAGCCCTTTATATGATGATGATGATGATGATGATTACGTTGACAATAACATTAATAATAATAGCAATGAGGGTTTGATAATGCATTTAGTGACCCAAAAAAGAGAAACACATTATTTCTTTAGGCATGGCAGCCTTTGGCAATCAGAGGAGTAAGGGTTTTCCCTCACTTCCTGCCAGCTCTTGGATGCAGCCATGGTGTTCCTATCTTGTCTTATACAAAGGCATATCTGATCTGAGCCTCCTTTACTCTAAATTTCTCTGTTTAAACTTTGTTTGATTCGTGGAAAACATTTTACCTCGTATATGTGGCCGGCAAAGGCTGTGATTGCTAACGTCAATACGTAAGTACCTATCTGTATCAATGATCTGTCTATCTGTGTGAATGTGCAAGTGTATTTTTAGGCTGCAATGAAGTCTGTTCCTTTGGGGCCTAAAAATAAGACATTTTAAATAAAAGAAGTGTTTACAGAATCTTTTTTTGTGGATTTGCGGATAGCAGCAAAGTGTGTTAATTCTATGTTTGGTCTGTTGTTTACTGAAATTTTTCTTTACCGCTAGTCCTAGTGTGAGTCCTTCCAGAGCATATGTTTGCTAATTCTTCATTACATCAGTCTGTCCGGTTGATTTTTCTTTTTTCGAAACTGTACTGGTGAATTTTTTTATTAAAATAAGTTGCTGTATTCTTTTTTCATGCCCTTTTCAGACTAATATTTTGCTCTACTAAGGTATTTTTTTTCTTATTTGATTCCTCTATTTATTAACATGGCTGGTTAAACTAGGTTGCTTTGATTCCACTAGTTGAGCTTGATGTGAAGTCGTAGCAATGAAACGTTTAAAATTCTGAAGGAATTGCACAGCACTATCAGTCAGCTTTTTTGTTGGAGATATAAAATCAAATGACCTTTTTCATTTTCTCTAATTTATTAGTAACTTACATATCTTTTATATTGAATAGACTGATGGTTTGTTGAAATGACAAAAAAGCAATGATTGTCCTTACCAGGAATATTATTAAATTTTATTGTCATTTTTCTCCAATCAAGAGGCATTGTTGATTAAAATGGAGAAAGTTCAACGACGAAAACAGAACAAATGTTCCACCAGCAATAGCTGGTGTGCATATTGTTGATCAGAGCAAAGGTTCCAATTTTTGTTCCCTGATTAAAATTTGCTTTTACATTAATAAATCAGAGCGGGATGTTGAAAACAAATGATCCATAGTTATTTCAAATTGGTTCGACACTAAGGTTTAATTTTATTTCTTCTACATATATGTGCTTGCTTTGAGTTGAATGTTAATTTTTTAAATTTTATTTAAATTTCTATTTTTTCCTTTACATTTTTTGTATTGTTTTTTCGTAGACTATGTTTTAAATATATTGGGAACAAGCTAATGCAACAAATAGAAAGACTGCTGTGATTTTTAAATATCTATGTGTTGCTCTTTTGGATAGGCAATGGGATGTTGGGTTGGTTAAGATTCCTCTAGAAATGGCCTAGTCGTATTCATCTCTTGTACGTACTTAGGTTTTGTATCCTCTCCTCAATGTGTCACTATCTCCGGCTGGCATAGGCAGCATTCATTTACTAACGACAAAAATATTTTTCATAAATAATTCTTTTTTAGAAGAGTTTATATATAAACTTTTTTAAGCTCCTTCACTTAGCACTACTCGTACTGAAACCGACAAAAATAGACCTAAGAGTAAAATCACACGCATGAGGAAAATTATTTCAAAAGATATTAATGCGGACTCAGTCAGAAACAAAATAAAATATTAATTAATTTTTTTTAAAAAAATTAATTAGATTACAAAAAATTAGCATATCTTATCGAATGCTATAAGACTCATATTCTCTGATTATGAAAATTTTAGCTAATTTGATAAATTATTGAAGGACTGTTTTGTAATCCATCCTGATAAAAAAAAAAAAAATCAATAATGTCTTTTTTATATCCATGTGAATACTCTTTCCATGTTCTTATTTTATTAGAATTAGAATTAGAATAAACAAAGTTAAATCTCAATCTTGGACAAATAATGTCGACAGCTAAACAAAAATCGGAGAATTCTTGTTGAACGCCACCCTTTCTCTCATCTATCATCATTTTTTGGGTACTGGACGACTCCTCCACCTCAGGAGTCAGGCCTTTTCATGGCCAGTTTTTAGATCTAACAGGAAAATTCACTGTTAAGTATTTATATTATATTATAGTACATATTTTATTCATAACCTGTTACGAATAATAAGAAAGTTGGGGTTGGATCAATCTGTGTAAAAATGGACAAGAAACGATCTTGGGCTTGCACTCTGGCTGTGCAGGTTTTTCTTTGTATTGCCACATATATTTCTCTCAACTTGGGGGAACCCCACAATTTCATTTATCATAGCGGAGATGGCAGTACCAGTATCAGACCTGTTGATGCTTATTTTCTTAGTGTTAGAGGAGGCTATAGGTCTATTAAACGACAGACCCATCTTCTCAAACTGGTAAATTTCTAATCTTTCTTCATTGAATTCTGTTTTTTTCTCGTTTCATTTTAGAAAATTTTTATGTTGTTTTGTAGTATGGCTTCAGGGATCTGGATTTGTTTTTGGGTAGGAGAAAATTTTCTTATTCCTTTGGATTAATAGTTGGAATTGGTTTAATTAAGAGCGAAAAGATTAGAAGCTCAATGCTTTCTACTTTATTAACTTCAGTTTTTCATTTTAATCTCCGTAAATTGTTTGGTTTAATAACTACTCAGTTTCACGTTGGTGTTTATCGCTATTCCAAATGCTTTGAAATTTGTGCTGTTCTTACCGGAGGGATTGGCTTATATCCTTCTTTTTGGGTTTTACATCTTTATTAAATTAAGTACTTACCGTCTCCTGTTTTGTGCTAGTCCTTTTGGCACTGTGGTAACTTCCTTAGTGGAAAGACACTATTTAAGATGCCTTTGAAGAAAAGCAATTTGGAAGTTATTTAGTTGTTTTGAAATTTTAATGACCAGAACATGTGAATTCATTTAAAAAAAGAAATTAAAAAAAACTAATGAGCTCTACTCAGCATTCTCAATATAGCATTCTTCTCAATAGCAGTTCAAACAACAATTCAAAACAGACGTAATATGTGATTATGGTTTATTCAAGTTGGAAAAGTTGTTGGCATTTGATATTTGGTATACTTTATATAGCTTGACTGGATTTTTTTGATGTGATGGAAGATGGAGAATGTGGCAAAAGCTTACAAAGCAAAGTTCGTGGTGAACATTAGTGAGCTTGGAGAGGAGGATCCGCTCACACGGAATGTAAGACTCCTTTTGTTCCCTCTTTCTCCTTGCTCTTTTTCCCTTCGGCACCCAAACATTCAGTTACTGTGATAGTATTTTGCAAAAAGTTCTCTGTGGGACTCTTCATGATGTAAATAAATGTGGATATGTTTTAGCCATGAGATTTTTCAGCCTCATTTCACCATAAGCAATAATGATTGCAAAAGTTTCCTCACAGTTTAATAAATTTCATCAATTTCAACAGCTCTACATTTATATTTTGCAGGCAAGCGGACTCTTCTCATCAATGAATATTTCCTGGTATACCATAGAGTTGCAATCACTACTTCTCTTCGGTACATTTTTATTGCTTGCAAATGTTTGTTCCTGCTATATCTTGGATAGTCCTGATAGATGATTCCCATTTTTTATTCAATTACTTTGATTCAGTAGGTATTGATCAACAGTAACGCTTGTAGGTATACTACTAGAGCTTCAAAGGGTTCGAAAGTTGATTGCTTCCTCAAGCAGATCAATGTAACTCATGGAAAAATGTTAACCGTTTCTGGTTTGGATACTAAGTCTCTGCAGGTATATGCTTATCCATTAAATTTACACTAGTTGTCTATCATAGACATCTCAAGATATTATTATGATGTACGACCCCTTTGCAGTATTCTTTATGATATATCACAACAGCTGAAGTTGTTTGTGTGAATTCTGAAATTCTTCCTTGACAACTGTCATCTGCTTTATTCTTTTTGGGTAATGTTTTGATAGATCAGATCTCAGGTTAATTGCCACATGTTGTTTCTGTCGCTGTTTATTTGGCCATGCAACTTTTCTACATTCTTTAATATGTGGAATTTATTGTGTTTCTATTTGTCCATTTTCATTGGATCCACATTGAGTTCATGGGGCTTATATTCTCAACAATATGGGGCTTATATTCCCTAGCCTCTTCTTAATGGAGTTGATTTGGATTCAACAAACCTGTTTTGGCCTTTGGTATGTTAATGGACTATTTTTACCCTTTCTTCACCTCATCAAGATCATTGCTGCAATTCTGCCACCAAGTTGACAGTTTAGACATGAGCACCAGGGTCTCAAATGAGGATAGGGCTTTTTGTTAATTGGCATTTATGTTAGGTGTAAGTTGTTTCACTGGCATTGATTTTTCTGAATTTATGTGATTCATTGGCATATTCTATATCTAAGGATTATTGGTGTAGAAGATACTTCTCTTGTTTGCCTTGGTATTTTGTTATTGTTATGCTATTATCATCTGTAGTATTTTTCCTGTCTTTTTCTGAAGCCAACATAAGTTCAAACTTTTAAGGATTTGATGCTGGCGGGATCAACAAGCAGCTTTGGAAACAATGAGTCAAATTGGCTAACACAAACACTAGAGGCTGCCACCGAAAGCTGGTAAAAACAGCCATTGTCATATCATTTACTTTCATGTTCTTGCTGCCCTTAGATATTTTGGATTAACCTAGCAGGGATTTAGATGCTTACGAAGATTTAAAGATTTTAACATTTTGTTTTCAGTTATCCTAGTTAGTGGTAATTGCTTGTGTTTTGTTATTTTTTCCTGACTAAACTTTGCTTTGCATTGATACTCATCAGAGTAGATATTGGAAATAAAGGATTCATATAGTTGACCCCGACTAATTTGGAACTAAGATTTAGTTGTTGTTTTCAGTTATCCGTTTTTTCTTCCTGCAGAATCTTCTAGTATGATTTTCATTTTGATATCAAATGAATTTAATGTTATTGCAGTGTACCTCTGTTGTCTTCATGACTTGCTATTCTAGCCCTAAATGCTCTCAATTTTTGTTCTCTGTTATTTAATGAATTTTTTTACTCTGTAATGTAAATTCAGGTTAATGGTTGTTGGATATGACCCAGTGGTTGTTTGTGAAGAGAAAGAAGAGCAAACTGAAGCACAACAACTTTACGAGCCTCTGCACCATATTTTCCTGAAATATGGAGTGGTAAGAAGAGAAGCTTCTCCATATTCAATATCTAAGGAAAAATCTCCATGCGTATGCTTTTAACTACTGGATTCAGTCGAATTAGAAAACCTCTCAACAAACAAGAATAGACTAAATTAATATTGTTTAAGAACATAAAAATTTAGCAAGTCTCTGTTGCTATCTTTGTGAAAATGACTCATTATTGTTTTTTCTCTTCAGAACGTGTACTTAAGCACACAGGGTTGTGTTAACCATACCTTTCAAGGTGGTGTGGCTTACATAGGCATTGCTGATCCTAATAAGAGCAAGCCTTACGAGGCTTCTTTAAACGGAAGTTCAGCTTTTCAAGGGTGAGTACTTTGATTCTCCATACTCGATGTCAATACTCAACTCATGCCACATCTTATAATATTCCAGTTTGGCAACTTGAACTATGATATGATACTTTTTGCATCAGGGAAATGGATGATGGGTTTCTGCTTCATAGAGTTGGTTCTCTAGAAATTGTGAGTATATAATCCTTTATCATTTTCCATTACATTGATCAGTTCGGAAAAAACCTAGTGCACTTTTAGGATGATGTAATAGAACAAACTAAAATTAATTTCATATGATTCATGGTGGGTTATTTTAATGTTCTATTAGATTCCTAAATGCCTTTTGATTCTGGCAAAACCCTGATATCATTTATCTTTCAATGGCAGGCAACCTACTTCGTTACATCAAGAGGGGAGGTGGTGTACAAAAATTTAATCCAACAAGGGGGTAAAGAGATCATGTAAATTAATTATTGAAAGAACCCATTCTATGGTGCGAATCCTTCTTGCTTGTTAAGCTTTCAACTTTTCCTTTTGTCTAGCATTATTTTTTCCTGTGTAAAAATGCCATTCATTACAATCTAGTCTTCAGCTTTGTGGCGATTCTAGGTAATGTTTTATTCAGTTCGATTCACAATTTATTGAAATCTGTTTGCTGCTTAGAGCTTCTAGATAAATGTTAAATGATCGATCTTCTTGATTTAATTCAGAATTCTGTTATATATTCTCTTTGTAGAAATTCAAATATTTGAATAATTGCATTGTCTTTTGCCTCTCTAAGCTTGAAAATGTGCTTTCAATAAAGTTTTTAAATGAGCTTATTTGATCTGCTTTAAAGACATTTTAAATTTTAACATGCTAATTAACGTAACGATTATGATTTAATTACTCATTAACATGTTATTGTATTCTATTGGGCGATTATCACACCCATTTTTGAACAAAAATTATTTATTAAATAGTGGATTTTAATTCTTTTTTTTTTTTTTTTTATCATTCAAAGTATATGTTGACAATTAAGCTTAACTGAGACGTGCACTTAATCGTACAAAAATTACTAAAAGATTCCTTCTATATATCCAATATCCAATATCCATTAATGACTAAATCGCCCCCCCCCCCCCCCCCCTGTTATAATTGCATGTCTTTATGCCTCTCTTAAGCTTTGAAAATGTGTTCATCAGTTTTTAAATGGGCTTTTACTTGATCTGCTTTTAAAGAATTTTACATTTTTTACATTCTAGATTAACGTAACGAATTATGATTTAATTATCCTTAACTATGTTATGTGCTATTCTAATTGGCGATCTATCACACCCAGTTTATTGAACAAAAATTATTTATTCATAGTGGATCTTTCAATATCTTTTTTTTTTTTTTTTTTATCATTCAGAAGTATATTGTTGACAATTAGCTTACTGGAGACAGATAGACCTTTAATCGTACAAAATTACTAAAGATTCTCTTCTATATATCCATATTCCATATCCTTAATGACTAATCGTCCCCCTCCCCCCCCCACTTGTAGTTGTAGTGTACGTAAGGCCAAAAGCCCAAAGCCAACCAGTAGAGGGCAAAAACGGAAGATTGGAAAACCAAGCCCCCTATAAACAAAGAGCAGAGACCAACTTGGGGTTTTGACACTGACTGGAAAACGAATGAGGCTCTTATCGGGGCCGATGATTTCATCGGTCCAATCTCTCTCTCGCTCTCTCTCTCTCCAAACAAAGTGTTCTCTTCTGTTTTTTTTTTTTTCCTTTCTTTTTCTTTATCATTCCCTTTCTAATACAAACGCATACATATAAGGCTGTGATGATACGTTCCTTTCCAGAGTGTCCAATCAGGCAAAAAATGGCAAAAGTACCCGCTTCTTAGTGGCGGGGCGACCCGGATGGCCAATGAAAAAGACCATTTTCGCTGGCAACCGGTTGTCGCAGCCATGGCGGTAGTGCTTCACCTTTCTCTTGCCTGATCATTTAGTATCCGGATCTGAGCCTCCTTAATTATCTCCCTCTCGTTTCAGCTTTTTGCTTTTTTCCCGATCAGTTCTTTTTTAATTCAGCTCATATGGAACTTCCAATTTTTTTTTTTTTTCAGTTAATGATCATAACTGCCGGTGATGGGCAACCGGAAAAGGCCATGACTTCGAACTAAACGGCGGCGAGTGACCGCAATGGGACTGCATGTGAACTGTAGGAGTTTTGCAGAAAGGGAAATTGACAATTTGGACTGATTAATTTTTTTATTGTTTGGTTGGATATCCGGTTAAACTTAAAATAATCAGACTGGAGCTGATCTAATAATTTAAGTTCAAACTAATAGAATATTTAATTGAAATTTTTTTTTTTTTTTTTGGTTGAAATTTGTTTGAAAAGAAAAGATAAAGCTATTTATTCCTGTTTTATATTTGAGTTTTTTTTCTATTTAACATTTATTATTTTTAATAAAAGAAAAGATAAATTTTAATTTTTTAATAAAAGTGACTAAATTTATAGAATTTTTAAAATTAATTAACTGTTAAGGATTAAATTTAATATTTATCCTCAAAAACCGTAAAGATGAGCATTGTTTTTCGCGGATATGTTGCAAGATAGCGATAACCATCACTCCCGCTCACGCATGAAGCACACGCGTAGAATCAAGGCCAGTGTCGGTCTCGTAAAAAGATGAATGTGAGTACTTTGGTTCTTTTACAAAATTGACCTCCATTTGATGCCCTTTTTACCAATCGCAATAATGATAATAGATTGGCAATAATACCCCTCAGTTTTCTACTAAATACAGCACAAAGGAAGGCTAAGCATGGAATAATAAAATCAAGGTGATATCGCCATAAATAAAGAATTAGAAATGAAAAGATGAGAAGAGCTACGGAAGCTAAGCATGGAATATATAAAATCAAGGTGATATCGCCAATAAATAAAAGAATTAGAAATGAAAAGAATGAGAAGGCTAGGTATTTTCTCTCTTGGTTAGGGGAATTGCCAGCTGAGAGATGAGGTTTTGCTCTCAGAGACGATGCTGCATCTGGTTTCCGGGTTGGTTGACTTCCGCCTTCTCACCCATCGGAGCGGAGCCTGTCGATTTTCACTTCTTAGACTTAACCACCAGCCTAAAGGAAGAAAAGGAAAAGAAAGAAAAAAGGAAAATAAAAACCATCTTTCCTGGTGTCTCTGTCTTCTCTCTCTCTCTCTCTCTCTCTCTCTATATTATATATACTATATATATATAGCTGCAGAACACAACAAATAATAATAATAAATGAATAATGAGCTGTGATGAATATTCAGTGAGCCAAAAGATCAGATTCGAGAGAATGAAGCATTCTTGGCGGGGGCAAGCCTTTGCGAGTTGCTGCAGCCATAGTGATGCCATTGTTTCTTTCTTGTCTGATTCAAAGGCATATCTGATCTGAGCCTTGTCTTTCTTCAGATTTCTCTATCTCTGTTAAGTATATGTTTGGTTTGCTGAAATTTTTCCTTTTTATGAGGGTGTGATGATTTTTTTTTAGTGGAAAACAGACGTTTTTTTTTAGTGGAAAACAGACGTTGTAAGGAACAGAGCTTTGGCTAGGCAACTTTGAGCTTTGATTTTTCCCTGTTTTTGTTGCAGCCATGGTTATGTTGTTCTCTTTTCTGTCTGACCAAAGGCGAATCTGAGCCTACCACTCTCAAAAAAGGCAGGTTAGAGTTTATTTCCCAGATGAACTTGTGCTCGTCTGTCATTTTTGGCAGTGGGAGTAACTTAACTAGTATGAGTGTAGCTTATTTCCATCCGTCGTTCCTCTTGGTTTAAATGAGTTCTACAAAATTTTAAGGAATTCATTTACAAATCTAGATTTTCATGTTCGGTGCAAATGAAAATTCATTTGAAATTTCATTTTGCAAATGGGGCTGTTCGGTGCAAATGAAAATTCATTTGAAATTTCATTTTGCAAATGGGGCCTTGTAATTTACCAAATCCCTTGCTCTCTCTCTCCTTGTTTGGTTTATTGGAAACTTGTATCTCATTAATTTGGGAATGAGGCTTTGCTCTCAGGCAGGCGGCAGGTTTCAGGGTGGTTGACTCCTCCTGTCCGATTGTTAGCTAAGTCGATGATTTCATTTTTTTTATGTTGGCAACAGCCATTAAACAAAATAAATAAATTAATTAATGAACTTCCTCTGCATTCTGTTTATCTATAATATTCTATGTTGCACTGAAATGTTTGGAAACTCCTCGGGGCAATTTCTGTAAATTGGGCAATTTGGAAGCATTGTTCCCCTCTTAAACTGGATATTTCTCATATGTTGTCCGTTTCCGATCCTGCGTTTCCACGCGCCTACGTTTCCGTTTCCATGCAACATAGATAATATACATAATGTCTATTTGATGAGGCTATGATGATATATCAGTAATCAAAAATCAGGCTGAGATATAAATAACCATTTATCTTGGCGGGGCAATCTTTGGAAATAAGCAAAATGAGGTTTCTCTCAATTTCTGTCATTCCTTAATTGCAGTCATGGTTTAATGGTGTTTCTTTCTTGTCCAATTGTTTGGATATCTGATCCGAGCCTCGTTTTCTTTTTATCTTTCTCTTCAAGCCTTGTTTGTTTCACAGGAAAATTTGTACAATGACCAAAATGCTCCTATCTAGCTTTGTGTTTTTGAGGCAGTGATGATGTTTCTGATCAGTGAAATCAGACACTCAAAAGGGTAATAACGTTTTTGGCTGCACAATGTTTGCTTCGAACCTCATGGACGAAATAATTATTTTCCCTTTGTTTATTTATTTATTTATTTATTTTGGCTCCAACTCTCTCAGTCGCACTTAGTTTCTTTGTTGCAGCCATAGCTCTGGTCACCTTCCTGATTGACACAATAAGATCTGAGCCTCGACTCAAAACGTTTCTTGGTCTGGATTTTCTTTTTTCAAATGTTTTCTTTTTCCCTTTTTTTCATTGAAAACATCTTAGTGGTTAATTGGAGAAAAATGTTAATAATTTCTTTTTGGCCCTTATTTTGGTAGTTAACTAATGAATCCACGACTCCAGATTAATAGAGTTTTGAGTTTACTACTAGTAGTAGTATGTTTATATAATTTCCGTTGGCATATTGTGTAATTTTATATTTTTTTTAAACAATTGGAAGGATAAATGTTTTTAGAAAATTGTTGTTCATTTAATTTAAATAATTTATTTTAATTAAATGATACAATGTGAAATTATATCCGTTTTGAAACTTTCAAGTAATAAATTGAAATTTTTAATTAATAGATTGAAATATTTTGAAATGTTTATAAATTAAATTATGTCCTTTTTACTTTAGAAACTTCATATATTCAATTGAAATGTTTATTAATTTGTTAATTTTTTATAATTAAATAAAATATAAAAAGATTTAATTATAAGGCAAAATTTTAATAAATTGGTATTATATTTCAATTCAATTAGTTAATCACATTACTGTAATTTCATTATTTAGTGGTTATTAATTATAATTCCAGTTGATATCATTAGTTTGTATTTCTATTATTTAATGATAAAAAATCAATGTTTATTAAATATTAACGTTTGCTAAATGCAAATGAAGGGGTTAATTAGAATGAAAAAAGGAATAAAATATTAATTAATAGGTGATGTTTTAATATATTGCAATGGTAGCATCCATGGAATAGAAATTGTTTACTCTAAAATGCAATTGTATGCCTGTTTATACAATTTCGATTGAAGAAGGCAAAGCTATGTTATCTGGGCAACATTTTGGTAATGGACACATCATTGACTGAACAAATTTCTCTAAGCTACATCCAAGATTTTCTCTAAGCTACATCATTGACTGAACAAGTTTTGACTTTGATGATAGCTTAAGTCTTCTGACACGTAACTGTTTCTTTTTTTTGTTTCTTTGTAAAATATTTAAATGAGAGAATTGGATAGGTAAGATATTTGACAGATATATTTTAGATATAATTTCGTAATCTTTCAACTTAGAAAAATTATATATCAAACAATGTAAAAATAATGTAAAATGTAAAAATTAGATATATCAAATTAGAAATATGTCAAAATGTAACAATTAGAATAATATCAAATTAAGATATATTGAAAAAATTATAAAAAATATCCTTTTAAATATAAATAAATTATTAATATATATAAAAGTTAACTTATATATAAAAGTTAACTGGCTCTAAGAATTTTATATTTTATTATATTGTCTCTACGAGTGTATATGTGCATCTTTATATTTTTATATATTTAGAGTGAATAATGTATTGATTAAGACCGATAAAGATGAAACAACGAAAATTTTACAGTCAATTTATTTTATAGTCAACAATTTATTTTGTAGTAAAAGATGTCACCTTCGGAAAATCTTGGATGTAGCTTAGAGAAATTTGGGTTGGTTCTGGTATAAAGGGATGGTTAAGGAGAGGATTCTGGTATATGTATGTATGTAATTGTTAGATGATATCAAATACATTGCTTTTCAAGAAGCAATTTACTTACTATGTCCCAACAATCTGGCCTGTCTTGGCTTCGTTGCTCTCCTTCTGCAAAATTCTTGCCATACCAAAATCAGAAATCTTTGGCTTCATCTCATCGTCTAGTAAAATGTTGCTAGCTTTAATATCTCTATGAATTATTGTCAAATTTGAGTATTCTTGAAGGTACATAAGCCCTTGAGCAATCCCTTCAATGATATGAACGCGTCGTTCCAAATTCAATTCCAATCTTCTCTTTTGATCTGCATCAAAAACAGAGTTACGAATCTAAGCTTCTTTTATTATTTCTAATCTAGAGAGAGAACCAAATAGGGAAATAAATAATATATCACTTACCAAACAAATAGAAATCCAAGCTTTTGTTGGGCATGTACTCGTATATCAACATTTTCTCTCCTCTATCAGTGCAAAATCCCAAAAGCCTTACTAGATTAACATGTTGCAGCTTTGCTGTAAGTTTAACTTCATTCATGAACTCCTTAAATCCTTGATGTGAAGTTTTTGAAAGCCTTTTCACTGCTATTTCCCCTCCCTTTGCAAGTTTACCCTGACGAAGCCCGACAAAATAGTCAATATGGAATTTTCTTACACCCAATGATTCAAATACATAGCAATTTGAATATATTCATTCCAAGTTCATATATATATATATATATATATAGTTTTATTAACCTTATAAGAAGCACATAAAATGAAGGATTTGTTGAAATTCACCTTGTAAACAGGTCCATATCCACCCTCTCCAAGCCTATTTTCGCATGAAAAGTTGCCTGTAGCTGCTTTGATTTCAGAAAACTTGAATATTTGCAAATTTGGAGCATTTTGGTACTGATATTCATCAACTGCTGTATCACCAAAACTCAGTTTCCCTGAAACATAAAACACAGAGATTTTGGTAACTCGAATCCATCAACTGTGTTACACCAAACCTCACGCCTCTCACTCAGCACAACATAAAACACAGAGAGAAATCCCAAAATGCTTTCAAGAATAATGTTCATAGATATTTCCTATTTCTAAAGAACAGCAAAACAATGGAGTCTAAGTAAGGCAAACACTACCGAACTCTTCTACTTTTGACATTCACGTTATCTTGCTTTTTTCCTTCATACATCCTGATAAGCCCAGTCGGACTACGACGCGTATACATCTGCCAATGGGATTGAAAACTCTACAATCCATAAATGCTTTTATCCTTTCATGAAACTCTCCAACTCATAAGCTCGCACTTAATCTGCTCATCTCAGAAACGCATACACAAAACCATCTACAGAATGATTTAAATACCTCCATCTCCAGTGCATATAAATATATCTTAACGAGCCGCTGGCATAGAGATTGCAACTATTTCTTCAGATTGCAACTATTTCTTCAGAAAAATAAAATTTTTTATGCTGTTAGAAAAAGTAGTTGGAGAGTATTATTTAGCTGCTTTCAAGCTTTTATGATTACTTTTCTCAACAAAAAGTATCAAACAGAACTTAGGTAATAGATGAACAATTTCCATACCAGCTCGAGAAAGCTCCCAGTTATCATCATCGTTTCCAAGCTGAAAAGCATTGTACCCAAGCAATCCCTTTGTCTTAGCATATAAAATTTTAGTCTGAATAACCTCAACATCATCAAAATTGATCCAAATTGATTTGATGCTAAAGTAGTTAACTACATATGTAGCATTGTAGCTTGAAATGGCTCCATAGCCATAATTAAGATCAACTTGTAGCCTATTGAACCATCCATTGTAAGCGCTGGTCCTGATGCTAGTGCACCAATGGAGTACTTGTCATTTGAGTTCACTAATTTCCATGCATAGCCATGATAAGGCAAACCCAAAACCAGCTTTTCTGATGTCAATCCTCTCCTTAACCATCCCTTTATACCAGAATCAGTACTAATATGACCTAAAGGATCAAATAAAGCTGCATGATTACCTGTAATATTCTCTTTTAAAGGCAAATGATAATCATAACCAGCTCCGCATGATTACACTCGCTATCCACCCATCTCTCTCCTAAGGCAAAACCTGCACTATACAATGCTATATACCACCCCCACAGGATTTTCCCCTCCTCACAGGGGCCCCCCCCCAAATCCAACTCTCTCTCTGCCATGGCACTTCCCACTGGAAACCTCGTCCCGGAATCACGTTCTGGCTGGCGATCACCTACTCGCACGCTCCACGAGATATAGTTTTCCGGCTCCAGAAGTAACACAGTGCTGGTTTCTTGACATCAAAATTTAACTACGATTCACGCCCATTCTGCTGTTTCTTGACTCAAAATTTATAGCTTCACGCCATTCATCTAAAAGAACTCCAATATTTTCCATGTCGGATGTTGTGTTAGGCCAAAGCCAACAGAGGTCCAGGCCACCAAATCCGTGAAACCTGGCTTTTTTCATTGAAGACTTGATAAAAGACTTCCTATAAGAAGGTTTGCTAACCATGGAAGAAAATGTTGAATAGTCTCTATATGCGAGTCCTATTGACAGAACTGGAATGACAGATGGGTTATTTCGTTTAATGTTAACTGTGAAAGTCGAGAGAGATGATTCAGTAGAGAAGGGGAACGAAAGCTGGTAAGTGGAAGTGTTTATAGCAGCAAAAGCATAGAAAATGTGAGTGAAAAGAGCAGAATTTACTTCAGATGCAGGGAGGTTACTCGAGGAATCATAGTAGGCTGCTTTGATCCAATCTTTTGCCCCCAAGAAATGAAAATTGAGAGTGATTAGAAATATTAGGAGGGTAATGGTGGTTTTGGTAGCCATGAAAGAAGAAAGAAAGAGCTTATTTAGTGGTCAGAAAGGAGACTTTTGCGGAAAAACGGTTGGTTTTAGATATAAAGCTCCCAATAAAGAAACCAAATAGAAAAAAATTATAGCTTATGCGTGTATATAAGCTGTTAATTCTAATGTGGCCAATCTAGAATTTTTAGGTTCTTTGCTTAGTGCATCTTGTACACAAGAGAAACCTAAAAAAGTTCATTGAATTTCCATATACTTCCATGCTATGATACTCTTTTGACCTTGATGAGTAATGAGCTCACGTCACTTTATCTGAGCACCTGTAATCTTTGTTTCTTTTTTTATTTGTGTTTTTTTTTTGCATAAAAATCAATCTCTGAGAGAGTGAGTGCAGGAATTGGCAATAGTGTCAAGATCATTTTATATGACAGATTATATTATATGTATATTAAAATACAAAATCTCGTAACTCTCAATTTTCCACATCTTTCTCACTTGTAGAAAGAAAGGTGTAAAGTATCAATTGACAGGAAATGTTATACAAAAAAGCAGATCATTGTAAAACACTTTAGTAGAAGAAATTAGATAATTACAAGTTCAACAATCTACCGCATACCTCTATGGGATGAGATATAAAATATATCATAGCATCAATTATCAACCCTTTCTCAAAAATATATAACATATAATAATAGTACTTTATATTATTATTTAGAGAGAGTTGAAGTCTGGTTCTCACTAAAAAAGAATCTTCATAATTTTTATTATATTGGAGTCCTACGAGTGTAATATTTTAGCATCTTATCACCATTGTTTATATATTTATGTAGTGTAACTCACATGGTATTTGATTTAAGCACCGAATAAAGACACAACCAACTGACAAAGTTTCTTAGAACAGTCAACAAACTTCTCTTATTTTACTTAAGACTAATTCACAGTTCTAAATCTTTAAAACGAAATTACGAACTAGTCCAAATCACTGATGCAAAGTCCACAAGTCTGTCTGCAAAAATAGGAAACTCCGAAGGAGATCTGAAGATAGTGGTAAACCTATTTTAGGAATCATTCCTATTTTCTTTCCATGTGGTGGTTTTGGTTACTGGCGTAATAAAAACCGTTCTTCAATAATAAAGGAAGAGGGATTGGTTAATGTTATGAAGGAATTTCTGGTATAATCAAATGTTAGAATGATATGTTAAAAATAAAGCCCAGTGTGTAGAGATATTTCTAAACAGTACAAGATTTGGTGGCCTGTGGACCTCCTTTAAAGTAAAGCGCAATTTATCTTACTATTGGATCCCAGGTCATGGCTCACAACATCGGGAAACAACAATTCTGGCGCCTAGCCCTACTTCGAGCCTTCTGCCGCTCTCGCAGACGCACCCTCTTCCTTTCGCATAAATTTTCTTTAGAGCCCTGAATGGCATTGAAAGCTCACCTAAAAAAATCACTGTTAAATTTTTTGAGCTTCATCCTCATCGATCTAGACGATAAAACAATGTTGCTCACTGAGCTGTTTAATTATCACTTCTACTGAATCTATTGTTCATAATTTGAAGAGGCTCAATTCTAGCAAAGGTGCTTAAATAAGCTACTTCGCCACATAGTCCCCTATCAATGATATGAAAACGCGTCCTCCGTGCTATTCTACCACCATCTCACATTACCATCACTTCTCACCGTCTCACCCGGCACACAATTATTCTGGCACAGACTACCACAACAGAGTTATCCGCAAATTCTGACCATAGGGCCCACACCCTTAGTGCACATGTTATGCAATATACAAGTACAATAACTTTGGAGAAGAGAATCACGACCAGTAGGCCGCCGAAATCACTCCACTACTCCCTCTACCTTTAACCAACCCATTAGAAAACATTATCCAGACGACTTTTTTGTATATGGGTCACTCTCACTCTCCGAAATTATTCGACCATCTTTTTCCATCAATCAGAACGCTATCAAGTAAGCAAATAACCAAAAATCCTTAACTGAGATAAGTGAATCTAGACATGTTGGCATTAATCATGGCTTTGCGGTACCAGTTTAACTTCAATTCATGAACTCCTTGAACCACTCCTTGAAGGTTGTTGTAGAGTTTTTTGCAAAAGCCTCTTTCAACTGCTTATTTCCTCCTCGTTGCAAAGTCTTTCCACTCCCTGACGAAGTCCCGACAAAATTTAGATCACAGTGTCAATTGAGAATTTTTTCTCTTACGATTACTGACTCTGGCTCAATGATATCAACATAACATAAGGAGATTTGAGATCATTATTGCGGTCATTCCAAGTTCATTTCAACATATGGAATAGGATCTGTGTAAAAAACATATATCACAGAAGAATATATGTATTTCTCCCTTAGGTGCCTTTATTATGGAGACAGGACGGGGGTGTTATGACCAATGTATAAAGCGATTTTCTAAATGTTGAAATGTGCACGCCTGTATAACAGGGTCCATATCCACCCTCATCTTGCAAGCCCTATTTAGCTTCGGAACCTACCTAGAAAAGTTGCCTAGCTTAGACTAAAAGTTAGCCCCTCTTGATATTTTTCTAGGAGACAGTTTGAATATCTCATGCAAAATTTGGAGCATTTTGGTACCTAAGGCCAAATATTTCTCATTCACTGCTGTTAAGAAGCCAAAACTCAGTTTCCCTGGACCACATAAAACACAGAGAGAAGGTCCAAACAATAAGCTGTCGAAGAATCATGGCTGCCTTCATTAGAATTTCATACCCTAAATTTCTAAATGAAGAGCAAAACAAAATGTGAGGTCTAAGTAGGCATAAAAACTAAGAAAATCTTTTACCTTTTTGATTCAAGTTTATATTATAGCCTTTTTATATATAAAAGATTGAATTCAGTATAAACTCTATGCAAGGTAGGTGGGGAACCAGCAGAGTATTTTATCCATTAGCAACTCGGGATTGGACAACTTCTAACATCTCATAATATGCCTGTTTTTCCTTATATCCTATAGAACTCTCACCAACCTAACATTACAGAGCTTGCGCAATTTAACTTCAAGGTATTTAAGCAACAGATATTTTCGACGAAATACACACAATCTTACAGAAATGATTTATAATGTACCTGCATAATCTCTGAGGATGTCATTACTAATACTATGATATCACGAGTGGGTTCTTGGACAAGGTATAGATTTTCAGACATAAACACATTATTTTCTCTCAGATAATAAAATGCTAAATTTGTTATTATCGCCTTGGGGGAATTGTGAGATAAAATTGTAGGGTTGAGAGTGATTTATTTTAGGGCCTGCCTTCCAGCTTTTATGAACTTCCTGTTGGATCTACCAACAAATAAGTATAACAAACAAGTAGACTGGGGTGAGCGTTAATAGCTGAGGCAAGGTGTTGTTCCAATATCCAGGGCTTCGAGCTAAAGCTCCCTTCAGTATTCATCAATCGTTCCAAGCTGGGAATATCGAGTTTGTAACTTGCCAAGCAGTGCCCTGTATGTCTTAGCATATAGAAATTTTTATATTCCGATGAACCCGCAACATTTGCAATGGCAAAATTGCGATCCCAAATTTGATTTGATGCTAAAGTAGTTACCCATCATGTTAGCTATGTAGACTTGAGAATCGGCCTCCATAGCCTATTAATTATAGTTACTCAACGTTGTTAGCGCTATTGAACCTCATCCATCGTAAGCGCTGGTCCTGAGGGTGCTAGTGCAACCTTTAATGGAGTAACTTGGTCAATGTGGTTCACCTTGAGTTGGTTTCCAATCGCAGTAGCCATTCGATTTTTTTGGTCCGTCTAATATCTCAAAACTCTAGGCTTGTTTCTCTGTTAATGTATTTGCCTCTTCCTTAACTTTGGACTCCTCTTTTATAGACCAGGTAGGACCCTCAGTATTGCCCCGGTTTCTGGATTCGAATCATTGCCCCTAAACCTGAGTGGTATCAATGATGAAAGTGCATGACTTCTACTGCGTGGGCGTAATTATTTCCTTTTCTTTTAAAGTGCATAAATCGATTAAAATCATATGCGCTCATAACGACGATTGCCCACTCTATTTTTCCCCTTTAGGCAGGAATTGCACACTGGTGATAACTCGTTTACTCGCCTTCTTAAATATGTTGGCTGGCGATGGGCTTTAGGACATAGCCATTCGATCTCAGTGATATAGTTTTGTTGCTCATGAAATTTTCACACAGTTTGTCTCGTATTTTGCGTTCCGACTCTTATAAACATTTATAGCAATTGCTCACACTGGCAATTTTCATTGTCCCTTAAAATGAACTTGCAATCATTTTTCCATGTTAATGTGTTGTGTTAGGCTCGAATTACAGGCCCAACCCTTATGAGTGCCAGGTGCTATCCTGGGATAATAGCCGGTGGAACAACTGCTTTTTTCATTGAAAGACTATGAGATAAACATCTTCCTCATGAGTAAGGCTTTTGCTCTAACCATGGAAGAAAATGAAGAGAAGAAATTAGTCTCCCATATCCGCAGTCCTTATTTGGACCAGATACTTGGAAGTTTATTGAGCAGATGGGTTCGGTTTTCGTTTAGAGGGCTTACCCACTGTGGGAGAAGTCTCGACCGAGATGTATTACACTCACGTATGAGAAGGGGCGAACGAAAACGTCTGAGTAGAGGTGGCAAGTGGGCTCGTAGTGTAGCAGATTCAAAAGGCGATCATGTGAATTATGTGAGTGTAGGACAAATTAGTCAGAATTCTCTTCCCTTTATCTATCAGAATGCATGGGAGGGTTTTACTTTAATGCATCATATACAGGGTTAACGTCACTGCCCTTTTGATTACCTAAATTCTTTTGCCCTCACAAGAAATCTGTCAAAATTAGATGGACAGCTTTAGATTAGCAAAATTACCTTTAAGGTGAATGGGTTTTCGAGCACTGAGTGGGGTGTAAGTTCATTGATCTATTATGGCTCCTATTTGGGCGGGGCTCGAGAGTAAAGAAGAGTAAAGAAAGATGGCCCTCATAGGGAGCGTGATAACAATCTGTACGCTTGGTAATAAATAATGCTTTCTCTGGTTGCCCCTCCGAAGTCACGTGGATTATGAAGGTGCATGTTCGCATTGCATAGCCGTTAAGGATTCTCCTTGAGTACAATAGCGCATTGCAACCAAAGTGTTTTTAAGATTCAGTTCAGGCTTTCCTAGGAACATTTTTATTGGTTCAATCTTGGATCGATGGTAGAGTAGAGGATTGAAATGAATAAGCTCCAAGTCTCGCCCTAACCATAGGCTAGCAGACGTCCTTATTTAATGTTTTGGTAGTTGATTCTTTATCTTTGTAATCTTTTTTTCTTGCTTTTCTTTGTTAAAAAATTTATTTAAAAATGGAGTATTGCTACCTTACTAGTTGTGAAGGAGGAATACAAGTGGAGGGTATAACAAGTGGAGTCTTCAGCATTTCGTCTAATTTCACTGTGATATTTTTGTGCAGAGATAACATAGAGATTTCTGGAACGTTTAGAGACGATGGTTCATTACTCTGACAGAGGACACAGCTCACCAACGGCAAATTTAAATGTTAATCATTCATCGAAAATCAAATAGTTTAGGCACAAAATAAAATAATGTATATAAATGATAATAAAAAGAATGAGAATATCATAATATCAGATAAGATTAAAGAATATTTAGTTGTAAAACACAATATAAAACAGAAAATATGCATTAATGTGAAATATAAACATAAATATAAAAGAGTAATTATATACTGTATTTATTGGCTTATGATAGAATAATATTTAGAAAGAGAATGTAGAGCAAACCGTGGCATCTGACAAGAGAACAATGCTTCAGACTATTGTTTGGACATTTAGTTAAAGTATTAAATTGTCTTTTGTAAACAGAAGGCATGTTGTAATTTTCAGACTATCATCTAAAATTATCATGATAATCATAGCACTAATATCTTCCTATATATTTCTTCTTTTCATATATATATATAAAAGTTAACTGGCTCTAAGAATCTTATATTTTATTATATTGTCTCTACGAGTGTATATGTGCATCTTTATATTTTTATATATTTAGAGTGAACAATGTATTGATTAAGACCGATAAAGATGAAACAACGAAAATTTTACAGTCAATTTATTTTATAGTCAACAATTTATTTTGTAGTAAAAGATGTCACCTTCGGAAAATCTTGGATGTAGCTTAGAGAAATTTGGGTTGAGATATTTGAGCTTCATATTGACATTTTGACGTGTTACAATAACAGAAGATGAAAATTTGACTTAGGAAACAATAAGGATGCTGAAAAATGCTTTGATATCACATGCTCAAATCCATCTTGGTTGATCTTTTTTTTTTTTCTTTGACCATGTTATTTTTTTGCCATTTAATTTTGAAAAATGAGTCATAGCTTGAGAATGACATTTGACAGTATTTTACACGGAACGGCAGTGACGTGGACAGCAATAGTGTTAGTTTAACGGCTTAAAGTTCCACCTACTCCTTTATTTGCCAGTAAAAATAGCGCGCCAAATTGGAAGCGAAGGTTATGTTATGGCAAACTTGAGCGCGTTTCTTCACGCGCCCACTCCGTGCTTTTTTTCCAGTTCTCATACTCGCCCCTCCCTTTCCTCTAAGCGAACCACCGATTGCTCTTCAATGTCGGCGTCGGCTCGAGTAGCTGTCGTCGGAGACGTAGTGAGTTTTCTCTCCTCTCGCATTTATTTGCTCTTTCGAAGCAGTGTTTCCGTTTCCAACTTGAAACCCTATTCTTTGGTTTTGTTCGGTGTGGTATGCAATTTGATTAATATAAGTTTAATTGTGGAATCATTTCATTTTTGGAAAATTTTTATTGGAAAATTTTTATTCAGCAAATTATGTTTCTTTTTTTGAAAATTCTGGGGTTTTTTTGAAGCATGATGATTGGAATCTAGAAGAGGATACAAAGGCTCTCCAACTTCTGCAGGTACTTCTCTTCGCTTTTGTGTGTGTGTGTGTGTGTGTGTGTCTGTCTGTCTGTCTGTCTGTCGGGGGGATGGGCGTTTATTACTCTATTAGTCTATATATTCGTGTTCATAACTAAAAAGTAATTTTCCTTGTAATTGAGGAGAAAACATCTGCACTGATTTTGGGATTTGTAATGTGAAAATAGGAGTCATCTGTCACAATTCATTTTAGGTGTTCTGTAGAGGTTTTTTTTGCAGAGTTTTTGGGTTCATTAATGGGCCAAAATTCAATATATCTATGGAAAGTGAATTTAGATGGCATCGTTGAACATGAATTTGGGAGTCATGAGAAATAGACAAAGACGATAATGGATGGCCGTACTTTGGTGGGCCTGATCCATGGATCCAAGGATCCAAGAGAAGAAAAAGATGATGTTGATGTTATTATCCCAATTATAATTTATGGGACTTGGATCCCACATTGAAAGTACAGAATTTCAATGTAGGGTTTCTATGAACTTGATGCTGGTGCCAACCATTGCTTCTCCCAATTGCAATCAAGAGACACAGGTGGTTATGCCGACATTATATTGGGTTGTCTGTATCAGTTAAAACCACTAAACTTTGGCATGCAAAAGACACCCTTAATTAAGTTGATGCTCATCATAGTGTCCCTTTTCTTGTATTTCTCTTTTTCTGCATTGAAGGATAGTTTCTGCTGGAACTAAAGACACTCACATATGCATACATATCATATTTAAAAATATTGGTGTAGGTAAAATGTAACACAGGTGAACAATCCTGCATTAAGGATGTAAATAAGCAGGACTGACATTGAGTTTAAGTTGAGGTTGCTATGTGCTTATTTGGGCCATGGACTATTCAAGCTTTTTGTATTGAGTTTAAGTTGAGGTTGCTATGTGCTTATTTGGGCCATGGACTATTCAAGCTTTTTGTAGTGCCTATTTGAGTTTAGCTAACTTTGGGAGTCCATCTTGAGATTCATTTCACAATTCTAAAAATTGATTTTAGTAAAAATTCCATGTAAGATTAAGTTGTTGTGGGTCAACAAACTCTTTATAGCTTGGTGTTGTTGCCTTTAAGCAGCCATTTTTTTTCTCTCAATTTTCTTTTAGATTTTCCGTGAGCATTTCCTATTATTTTTGTGCATAGCTATCCTCTACCTACCTAATATATGTTGCATTATGCAGCCGGATTTGGTGCTGTTTACAGGCAGGTTTTCTTCTCAATCACCTTTTACCTGTACGGTGTCTTTGGCTGGTCCTCATTTAATTCATACACGGTGCCTTCACAACCCTTTTTGACTGTCTTCACTGACAAGCCAAATATCAAGGAAATATTTAAAAGGGATCTGGTTCCATGTGGGACACCAACAATTTTCAGTTCATATTGACACATAGTGCATGCAGATGCACTATATACATGTTCATTAGACTTATGAAAATCAGCCTAATATGTACCATGACCAGTCATTCTGAGTATGCGTTTGCAACATTACTAGTAAAATGTTAAATCTAACCTATTAGGCTTGTTGGCCTTTTTTTCTTGTTTTCTTGTCCTCCCCTCTCCTTGGGCCTTGTTTAGGTGATTTTGGTAATGAGAATGTAGAGCTCGTCCAAAGTGTTGCAGATCTTAAATTTCCTAAAGCAGTTATTTTGGGAAATCATGATTCCTGGTATACTCAGAAGTTCTCTCAAAAGTAAGTGTGTATTGCTGCAGCCCACTTTATAATTGCATCTAATTCATTGGTTCTATGTATTAAAATGAGTTGTTTGTTCTATGCTTTGGGCAATTTTCTTTTTTAAATTTATGGGGACTGGTACTGTTAAATATAATAAACAGTTGTTTCAGTTCTTATGTGCGATGTTAATAATATAAACAGCCGTTTCAGTTCTTTTATGCAATGTTAATCGGGTAATCTGAATAAAGAAAGAAAGAAAAACAAAGGAAGTTCCCAAGTTGTTTGAAATTTTTTATAAGAGTATATTTCTTGTTTGTACTTGTGTTTATGTGATATATTGCAGATAGCTAGCCTTATTCTCTGAGTTTTGTAAAATAGGCCATAGGAGTATGTTTTCATATTCCTGACATAAAGTTAATTCATTCTACATTATTATTATTTTTATTTGAATATTAGGACAAAGGATGGTGTTCAACTTCAGCTGGATTGGTGAGCTTATCTTGTCCCTGAGCAACGCAAATGTTCTATATGCTGCTTTTTATAGCTTCATTAGCATGAAGTAGATGTTTACATCTAAAAATATTCCAATTTTGCTCTTATCTTTATGCTTATAGTATCTCTTTCTTTATATTGCTTGACATGTCAGCATTAAGAATCATGTAGGATTACTGTTTCATTCATTTCTTTGGTGTTATTGGAGTATTGTTATCCGCTTCCTACTTAGACAGTTGGTATTGAATATGAAACTGGCTATGTAGAAGGAAGGGTAGAGAGAGAAGAAAGGGGGAACGGTAAATTGACTTGGAAAGGTTTTATAATATCTGTGAACTGTTATTATTCCTTTGGACTGGATATTTTTTCCATACAGAGTGTAAGTCATGTATATTTCAAATAATTCATCTATTCCTTTCTTCTATGAAAAATTAAATAAAAAAAATATCTCAAATAATGAGAGGATATTGCATATATGCATCTACTCGTATTTGAGTCATTTATATATGGCCTTCAATATCACTTTCATTACAAATTGCGTGCATGCAATATATAATATAGTGATAGAAAGATATAGAACTGTTTCAATACATCTCCTCCAGCACATTGCACATCATGCTGGGACTCTACTCTGAAGTAATTTATTTGTTGAATGAAATACCTTTTTGGAAATGGTCAGTCTTGGCAAAGAACATGTAGGTTACAAACGTTTGGATTTCCCTGAGCTTAAACTTAGTGTTGTTGGTGGACGGCCATTTTCATGTGGTGGTGAGCAGCTATTTCGGAATAAACTTCTGTCTGCAAGGTTTGTATTGGTTGAAGTAAATTCCAAAATTCGATTATTCTTTGTTTTCTTTCCATTCATTATTGTGGACTTTTCATGTCTACTTATAAAACCCGAAAAGAATGAAGGTTTATGGCATTTTAATCTTTAAATGTCACAGTTCTTCATGTTTTCTTTCTTATTTTTCAAAGAAACAAATTCAGCAGTGACTTGCTCTCCTATATCTTGCTTAGTATTTGCCTTGATATTAAAATCACAAAATTTAATCATGTTTCTTTGCAATTCAAATTCGTGTGACTTCACTAGACCCGAGTTAGATTTCAAATGAATGAATGGATTAGCTAATATTGAATCTTTTTTTCTTTAATTTCTTTTCCATGTAGTCTGTTGCTTGATTTTATTGCTCATTCTGCAACTTTCTAAAATTGGAATACTCTCTCAGATATGGAGTCCAGGACATGGATGGAAGTGCCATGAGAATCTATCATACCGCTTTGGGCACTCCAGAAGACCATCTACTTATATTGCTCGCACATAATGGGCCCACAGGTGATCAGCTGGCCAAAATTCACGACAAAATGTTAGCTTTTATTGATATCTATTTTTGGCCTTAATTGCCTTTTTTCAGGTCTTGGTTCTAATTTGAACGACATTTGTGGAAAAGATTGGGTGTTTGGCGGCGGTGATTATGGTGATCCAGGTAACTTTTTTGAATTCATGTGCTTTTATAGGTGTCTCAGCTTTGTTAATTCACTAAATTAGTGCACCATGCAATACAATTCATTCTGGGCATTGATGTGATTGTTATGTATAATTAGTTTAGCCTTAAATGATTAGCAACTTAAAAGGAGCATGAAGTCATTAGATATGCATAGGGAACAAAACCAAAAATGTGTTATAAGATGCAATGTATTTGTCTATAATATAGAATAAATGTTCACCCCATTATATTTACAAGAACATCCTCATCCTCTGGTACAGATCTAGCTCAAGCAATTTCCCACTTAAAGGAGAAGACCAGTTTGAATATCCCTCTGATTGTGTTCGGCCATATGCATAAAGAGCTGGCATATGGAAATGGTCTACGAAAAATGCTTGTGGTTGGCAGTGACAAGACTATATACCTGAATGGGGCTATTGTTCCCAGAGTTAAAAGAATCAGCGGTGACGACAGAAGCTCAACGGACTCTAGAGGGACATGGCGAGGATTTACTTTGGTTGAGATTCTTGAAGGGACAGTGGACAAAATTGCAGAAACTTGGGTTTCTGTCAATGGAGATATAACCTCAATAGAAGAAGAGCATATATTATTCAAATGTGGCAACATAGCATCATAATGGAATGATCTTATTATCTTAGCCTGTCTTGAATTAGCTGTCAGTTTACTGCAAGAAATTTCTCTTGTGAATTCTCCATGGCCCTTGCACTTCCACCAATGGAAAATGCTATCCTTTGGTTAGAATCTACTTAGCATTATGAAAAAAAACACCATTTTAGATACTATTTGGAAAAGAAACAACATTTTGATGTTCTTTAGCTAGTTTGATGTTCATATACGCGCGGGATTCATCTATTGAGGTATTTATTGAGAATTACTAACAATGTTTTTGATTCCTGAAATATAGAATGGAAAAAAATAAAATAAAATCCTAAGTTGAAGAATTTTAAAAAATAACTCTTACCACTGACAGAAAAAAAAAAAAAAAATGCATGTTCGTTTTAATCTCATTGCATTATTGTGATTCTTGTTAACTAGTTATCATTACTTATTTCTGTGAACAAATTATGTACACTTGAGTTTATGGGTTTTATTCCCACTAATACAAATTTCTGAAAATCAATTATATATTTGAAAAGGAAAAAAAAAGTTTTAAAATTATCTATAAATTGACAATTGAACGTCAGCATATCCTTTAGAATATCGAATAGGGAGTCTTTGATCACAAATCCTAATTCCATGAGTCTGAGAATTATAAAACCCAGTAAACAAAATAAACATATAATAATAATAATAATATTATTATTATTATTATTATTATTCAGCTGCATGACTTGTATTCAATACATTCTTCTCTTTCTCCTCATATTAAGCTCCACACCAACATATCTCTATAGAGTCCCAACTCAGTTTAAACCCAGACTCCCCCGTATACTTAAAACAATCGAAAATGATCCAGAGATCCTTTAATTCAATGCTGCACTCAGCAAAGAGATCACCATAAGTATCTCGGCCTTGGTGCAGACAACCTTACTATCACCATTTTCGCTCCTCGAAATGAAGCTATTGTTGATTTTAAAGACCAGATTGACCTTACCTATCAAACTGTTTATGCTAAAATTGATCGAGAAGTTTTCCATTCTGGGTATTCTTTTTGGTGGATATGTTGAATTGTTCCTTGCAATGGAGTGAATAAACTTAAGTTTGACGATCATGATTTAAATAATTACTCAATCAATGGTGTTAAGATTACGGATTGTAATATATATAGAAATGATCATATAATTATTCATGGAGTTGACAACTTTTTTTTCATTTCTAGAGAATTGATTTTCATGATAATCTAATAATATTTTGTCTATTTTTGCATTTTTATGGAATTTTTTTTCTTACAAGTTATTGAATGACATGATGATAAGAATAGCACGTAAATTTTTTTTTAATTAATTAATTAGGTTAATGTTGAAGTAACCAATTAATTTATATTGACCAATAATATTCTAATTTGATCATACGAATAATAATGTCCTTTTTTAGTTGAATTAGGTATTGCATTTGAAATGTGCATATTCAGAATTGGTTGCTCAAAAGTGTGAGTGTTTTGCTTTTTAAACTGCACAATTCATCCATGTAATGTGATCACATAGAGCATTACATGTCCAATTATATACATAAATCACATGAAATTTAGTCAAGCTCTTCTTAACACTTATTTTCTCTCTTTGAGTGATTGTTTTCATCACATTAACCATTAATTTTACATTTACTTTTACCACTGACATTACCAAATTAACACAAATCCATAATTACTAAATTAATTCTCATCATTTGTTATCATCTCTTTACTACAATCTAAATGCTAGTACGAGCAATCAAGTTGCACGAGATGTTCATAGTTCAAAAGCTCATTTTTTTTTTTTTTTTTTCATAGTTCAAGGTTATATGAGATATAATGATGTTATGGGAATTAAACCCTCCTAAAAATTTATCTTTAGTAACGCAAGTAGACTGGGGCAGAAATGGATTCAAAAACCTGTAGGTTGTAAATGGTGTAGGATTTGCATGTGTTGAAAAGGTTGATCCTCCCCTCCAAGTTTTTGTACTTAGTGTATTTGGACTTCTCCCTCCAAGTGATGATTAGTGCTGCTATGAGGACATAAGCTTTAATTCCTCCATTTAGTTACCAATTCTCTTATTGTATTAGTAACATGATAGATCCTCAATACGAATGCAATGTACTGGAACTACATATAGTAGTGCCAGTACATTGTTCCGTTGTATCCGTAATGAGGATTTATCATGTTACCAATACAATAAAAGAATTGATTACCGAATTGAGGAATTAGAGTTATGTTTTCATTGACGCAGCTTTCATCACCACTTAGAAGAAGCAAATTCAAATAGACCGGATACAAAATTTTAAAATGGAGATTAACACATCCAAATCCTGCATCATTTATAACCTGTAGGCCTCTAACTCCATATCCGCCCAAATTTGTTGGTTTATTAAAGATAAATTGTTCGGAGGTTTTAATTCCCATAACAACATTACCTCTCATTTAACCTTCAACTATGAAATAAACAAACTTTTAAACTATGAATATCTTGTGTAGCTTGATCATCCATACTAGCATGTGGGGATCATAGTAAGGAGATGGTTACCACTGGTGATGAATTAATTTAGTAATTATCGCTTTGGGTTAATTTTTCGAAGATTTTAATTCCCGTAACAGCATTACCTCCTATAATATAACCTTGTTAAAAGTACAGTCAAAGAATTCACTATGCGGATGACACTCTGGGCGCCAATGTCCATAACAGAAAGTTTCAGATGATAAGTTACAGTAAGTTTTATTAGAATGAATAAAAATAGTTGCACTCAAATTGAGACCTTAGAGATTTTACATCTTTTTACCATTCCAAAAGAATTAGTGGAAATAAATTTGTTAACTGCTACGCGTTTGTGCTTGTATTTTTTAATTTCCTTTTATTTTCGATTTTTTTTCTAAGAAAAAGTTTTAAGATTTTCAGTCAATAACTTAACAAATGTCTCCATTTCTCTGTTTGTTTATGTGGCCAATTCAGTTTGTTTATATTCTTCTTCTTCTTCAGTTTCTCTTTTAATGGCTTCAATCCAATCCATTCTTCTCTTCTTCCTCCTCCTCATCTTAAGCATCACAGCAACGTAATCCTAGAACTGTAACCGACTTTTTCCTCAAAACTGGAGCCTTAACTGATGTAAAATATACTTTCCCTAGAAATTGTACAGTGGAAAAGAAAATGATTCACTCAACCTTTTAATGGCAAAAGCACTTGAAGCTTCAGGTTTCAATTTAATAATCCAATGCTACACCCAGCGCAGAGCTCGTCGTACGCGTTTGTGCCTTGTATTTTATTTTAATTTCCTTTTTTTTGATTTTTTTTTCTAAGAAAAGTTTTAAAAGATTTTCAGTCCAATAACTTAACAAATGTCTCCATTTCTCTGTCTTGTTTTATGGTGGCCAATTAGTTTGTTTCATAAATTTTCTTCTTCTTCTTTCAGTTTCTCTTTTATGGCTTCAATCCAATGCTTCTCCCTCTTCTTCTCCTACCTCATCTTAAGCATCAACAGCAACGTAATCGCTAGAACTTGTAACGACTTTTTCGCTCAAAACTGAGCCTTAACTGATGTAAAATATACTTTCCTAGAACTTGTCCAGTGGAAAAGAAAAATGATTCACTCACCTTTTAATGGCAAAAGCACTTGAAGCTTCAGGTTTCAATTTAAATAATCCAATGCTACCCCAGCGAGAGCTCGTCGCAGACCTCTCAGCCATTAGCGTAAGAAAAAACGTTTCTATCCCTTCTTTCGGCTGGCCTCGAATGAAGCTATTCCTTGATTTGCAGGACGAGATTGATCTCGCCCATCAAATTGTTCTTGAAAAGTTGATCAATCAGGTTTTTAATTCAGGATTCACTTTCAAAAGAATCTGTTGAATCGAATATTTGCAAATCTATTCATAAAATTAATTTTGAACCTATGCTGATCTAGATATTTTTCAATTAATGGGTGGTTAAGATTACGCATTGTGGAATATACTAGAGATAAGCGTCTGTAATTTGCTCATGGGTTGATAATTTTTTCCCGATTTCGAGGATTGCTTGTTTTTTTTTGCATTTGTGGAAATTTTTTTCTTATAAATTTATTGTTTTCGAATTTTACTTTTTAGCTGATTTCGAATTTTTTTCCTTTAAACCAGCGTCTACTTTTTCGAACCAATTAAGAAAGAACTGAATTCTTGCTAATCCATTGTTAAACCGATCAATTCGCACGACGCGATTAACTCAGGCCTGTTATTAAAATATTAAAATAGGACTTGGGAAAAATAACTTCTCACAATTCAATTTCTTCATGACTTTCAGTTTTCACTGCTTCTCATCTCCAAACAACCGCACATGCTCCACTTTCAACACCTTCAATGCTTCGAATTTTGCTGAGTATAAACTGTTTATGCATTTTCTTGCACATCCATACTTAGCTGTCAACCTTGAATTTATTCAAATGTCCATCAGTGGGTGGAGCTACCGCTCGGCTGTCCCTTATTTTAAATTTTTTCTTTTTGAAATTTACTTTTAAAATATAGAAACATTTTACTTTTATTTTATAAAATAATGAATTTCTTTTGATACGTACCTCTCAATTTTGAATTTTCTTTTTTGCTCTCTCTAATTTATTTTTTTATGTTTTGGGCCACTGACTGTCATGGTTGCAAGAAATAAAATAAGACTTAAATTTTAATGAGAAATAAAAGTTTCAACAGACTTAATACTTAATTAAAGCCCTCTCAATTAAATATATTGCAAAATTAAGTTTAACTGAGACGATGCACTTAATCGAACGAAATATTTACTCACAAAGATTCCTTCCATATCCAATATCCATTTAACGACTAAAAAGCCAGAAGCCCAAGCACAACCACCAGAAGGGCAAAAACGGAAGATTTGGAAAACAAGCTCCTCTAAACGAAAGAGCAGAGACAACCTAGGGGTTTTGAACACTGACTGTTTGAAAACGATGGAGGCTCTTATCGGGCGACTGGATTTCATCGTCAATCTCTCCTCTCTCTCATACAAAAGTGTTCTGCTTTTTTTTCTTTTTTCTTTATCATTCCTTTCTCATACATATAAGGCTGTGATGATACGTTCCTTTCCAGAGTGTCCAATCAGGCAACAAATGGCGAAAGTACCCGCTTCTTATCGGCGGGGCGACCCGGATGGCCGATGAAAACGACCATTTTCGCTGGCAACCGGTTCTCGCAGCCATGGCGGTAGTGCTTCACCTTTCTCTTGCCTCATCATATAGTATCCGGATCTGAGCCGCCTCCTTAATCCTCCTTA